TAGAATATCGCTTACAATTGATTGTTGATCAGCATGAACCTAAAGATAAAAAAGAAATCATTTAATTTTCAAATAAAATGCGTTTACGATTGGTTGTTGATTAACGTTGATCTACAGATGAGAAATAAAAGATGTAGTTTTGAGATCAAATATGACTTATGATGGATTATTGATCAACATGAATCCAGATATAAAAAGAAACTATTTAGTTGTCATATAAAACATTGCTTCCCAATGATCGGCGATCAACAGGAACCTTAACATAAAAAATAAAATATTAAGCTTCCGTTTCGAATAGTTCGCTGTCAATGGGTCATGAATAGAAATCAGCAGGTGGATATATATGGTCTAGAGTGATATAGTTGATCGTAATCTTTGTCACATTGGGCCAAACACCTAAAAGTGTTTAGTTGTTTTAGAAGTTTGTACTCATGTGAGTTTTTTAATAAACGAGTTGCGTTTAAAAATGGTGTCATGTAATTTCACTTTTTTGGCTTGTATTCAACAAAATGATGAAAAATAAATGAATGATGCATGAAAGAAAGTTCATATGAGGGAAAATTTTTTTTTCGGAAATGAGCACATCTGGTATGATGCATTACGAAGATAATAACAAGAAAAAGACAAAATTACGTGAAGTACATCTCTAGTTATTTTTTACATGGGAATAAAGTAGAACAACGAACTAAGAAAATGTCAATGTATTCATCTTCAAGCCATGAAAAATTATGATAAACGTAATCTTTTTGATTGTATACGTGATGAAGATCTTATTGTTTCTTTATTAGATTTTGTTTTTACACGTTTTTTGCTATTTTTTGATGATACAATTATTGATGAAGTATCCATAGACGTAGCAATAGTTGATTCAAGAATATCTTCATGACCAATGGCATCCGTTGAATGCTTTTCTGATGATATAAGTTCATCGTTTTGTGTGTTCAATACCATGTTCATATTGTTGTTTACATCTAAAGAAATAGAAAAATTTATAAAATAATCATTAAAGAAAGGAGAAGATTTATATAATAAACTAGAGATTGCTTTGGATACGCATTGCAAAAGTATCTGTGTTCAGTTGATTAAATTTGGTTCGAAATAGTAGTGAGCCTGTTCTTGTATTCCATAACTAGGTTTCCTAGAAATTTCTCCAGAATATAAAAGTAGAGATTGAATTTTTGAAACAGTACTATATACGGTTCTTATGAAAATATAAGTAATATAGAGGACAACCAGGAAGGAGTCTTGAATAAGCTCACCTTGTTGTGAAATATTTGAATTATTTGTATTTGGTTCAAGTGATGATTTACTTGAAGTACCAGTACTTATATCGATTGCTGTTGTCTGATACTGATGAAAAAATGATTTATTTTTGATGATGTAATTCCATGATAAAAGTATTTTTCTTAAAGACTTGCTAAGCTCATTGGTATCTTCAAAAATAACGCCGTATAACAAATGAATACCTCAACTATGACGTTAAAATTTAACTTCAAAAATATTATATAAAGAAACAAGAAGTGATAATGCTTCATACGAAGATGTTGTTTGTACAATTAATTCATAATCCAGGTATAATTCATATTTATCTTTGAGAATTTTAATGCATGGAGTAGGTGTTATTGGATCCTAAAACAACAATAGAAAAGAATAAAGATAATTTCCAATGTTTTTTTGACGATATGAAAGATTAATACAAAGTTGTGTAGAAGGCATCTCTCCCTTTTCGAGGTTTCTGAAGAACGGCTAGTTAGAAAACTTAAAAACTTTCATGACAGATAGATCTTGTGGGCTGAAGCAAAAGTTGTGTCAGACTCAAAGTTTCTAAACGAGGCCTTCTATTAGATATTGGTGTCGTAAATGGTCAAAACGATCCAACTATTCTCCAGCGTTTCTCCAAGATACTATATTCGATCGAATTGAAAATCTTTTTATAAGTACTGGACACTATTTGGGGTGGGTACGTTCTCGGATTTTCGCATACTTTTTGTCACTTCAATAGAAAAGTCAAAATAATGAATATACCCTAAACAACTGTTGCTTTTTTACTAGAGCAATGCTTATGAACGTTGTCAAAAAGTACCAGAGCAGAAGTTTTTGAAATACAAAAATACCCACCCCAAAAGTGACTAGTATATGTGAAAAAAGTTTCGACTTGACTCCTGTCACCATGTTGGAGAAACAGGGGTGATGCGATACTTTTTCTGTTAAAAATTTGACTTTCAGAAAATCGCCAAACAAAGTTCATTTTCGATTTTCTTCTGAACCAGAGTTGGAATCGGTTGAGAAATGGTAAACCGGTCCGGTCTGATTCGGGCGGTTAGAATCATATGTCCAGCCGATGAAAACCAGTAAAAAACCGGCCGAGAAATGTCGAATTTTTTGAAAACCGATTTTTAGAAAAAATGGTTCCAAGTATGAAATAGTTTAGGGGCGTATGTAAAAGACACTTATCATAATGAATCCATTTAAAGAGAATCTCAGTAAAAAATGATTAAAAATAAAATATGTTTCGAGCACTTTTTTACGCATGCTGATAGAAAAACCATGTGATGCCTTAGTTTTTACGGATAAAAATAGTGTTAATAAAGAAGATTTTTGAAAACTTTCAATCGGTAAAATTTCGGTCTCTACCAGACTAGTTCTAATGCTGTTCTGAATATTGATTAGTTTTTCTTTCTATTTAAGGTTGAACAGATTTTAGGCTACTGCGCATCCGATGAGCTAGTTTACCAAGTTCGAAAAGAAATTTTTTATCCAAGCCAGATGTTTGGAATCAGGCACACGTGAACAATATACTTCTTGTTAACTATACCTGTCTGTTATTACTAACAGAAGAAAGGAAACGAGTAAATAGTCAACGAGAGAATTAAAAACGGAGAGTAAACCATCTCGAAGATATTGATTCATCAACCAATCATTAGAAATAGCATTAAATAAAAGAACTGACGAATACTGCGAAAAATAAGATCGAAATCGAAAATTTTAGGTTTCACCATATGGACCATGTCTCGAACTAAAGTCGAGCAATGTCTCACGCATCTCGACATGTGACTCTGACATGATCATATGCTAAAAATGAGATAGCTACAAGTAGATTAAATTCAAAGACAAAATATTTCGAAAAAAGGTAAAAGTTGAGTTTTTCTAGATAGGGAGGACGTTCTCGAAAATCGTTCTTTTTAAGGTACAAAGGGCGTCAAAAGAAATTTTTATTGTGCAGATCGATACAAGACACTTCAAAGTGTATACGTCACTAAAGAACAAGAAATTGAAAAAATTTTTATGTATGGCAAGGGATCCCTTAACATATTTCATAATATAACTTCAAAAAAAAAGCGTACTTTACTTTTTCAGTTATTAAATATGTCAAAGGCTCTTTGAAATAGTGATACAACAATTTCATCACCCGAATAGGTAAAACATCTTGATAAAATAGTAAAAATAACTTTGAATATCATTTTAAAAAATTCAATATCATTTTACCTGATATAAATGACGAGTTATCGGGTAGTTTTTCAAATAGCAGAGGTAACAACAACTCAGCATTACGTTCAACATCAGTATCAGTCGTCATTCGTACTTCTTCAAAGATCTGAAATGTAAACGATGAATTGTCCTCGATTTTAATATAAGTTACATTCAATACTAAAAGACAGTCGTATTTCCTTTAATCTTAGTCCTTTTCATCTCTTTCCCTTTGTGCTATGATCTTTCAGCAAAGCATACAATCAAGGTTTCACAACTTACTAAAGATGGTAATGAATATCCAGGATGTTCCAATAAAACTTCTCTAATGAGATTATTACGCACAAATAAGCGCCTGTAACTGAATGTTCTTCTCCAAATACATGTAACCGTTTTCATATCGACTATTTGTTTTTTCAGTTCGTCCTTCAACACCTGATTTAGTTTTCGAAGATCTTGTTCATCATCCATTCGAACAATAAACATCTGACAAAGAAAGAAAAAAGGATATAATTATCAATTAAAAGAACGTGTGAAAACACAATTGAAAACAGCTTACTAATTTTTCACTTTTTCTTTCTGCTGAAACCGACTCATCTTTTTTCACCGGTCTTCCATGACCTTTACCAAACTTGTTTTTATTTCGCAGAACTTGTTGGTTCATTTTTTGTAAGGGCTTTCGCTCATTCTTGAACTTCTGCTTGATAGACTCACGCCACTCATTCTAGAAGAAAGATGAAATATAATACAAAGAGAAAAAATGCCGATATATAGAATTAATATAGAACAAGAGAAAGTTTGCTGTTTTTTCTCAGTGTTTATGTCTTAAAGAGATTCTACCCTTTCTTGGCGTAAAATATTTTTTCAATTTTGAGGTTTTCATTTCTAAAGATGTGTTTAAGTGTCTTCTATCATATGCCATAAAAACTAGGACTGTCCCAAGCCGTATAAGTTCCGGAAATATTCTTTTCGAAAATCCATATCTTCAACGACTAACAATTTTTTTAGATGACAATCTTGTGAATTTGTCTAGTTTATTAATTCTATGAATATTTTTTAGAAAAAACTCTTTATATTCAATTCCACTGTACAATAAATGATGATCTGTGACAATTTAAAATAAGCAAAAGAGAAAAAATATAGATGAAACAAAAATCAAGATTTTAAATACCCACATATCCTCTTCTTTCTTTCACATAATATATTCGATGAGGCTCAAACTTTTTTTTTGAGTACTACGATCAAATTGTGATGTGTGATTTTTTTCTTCAAAATATTATTTCAAGAAGTTCGGCAGCCTTTAAAAAATTAGTACTATTGCAAGAAAAACAGGTTTTTTGATTGTGCTTCCAGTTTTTTATTTGCTCTGAGCTCTAGGAACGATATTTTTGAAAGAAAAAAAACTCGCATCTCGGTTTGATCCTAGTTGTTAGAAAAAAATTGTAGCTCGGAAAAATGAAGTATAGAGTTTTGCGGGGAGCAGGGAGTGAACTTCTGGCCATTTTTGGCCTTTGCGACCTTCCTGTTCCCTTGAAGGAAGCATCAAGGAATTTAGATTTTATAGAAACTATTGCTCTATTCATTGAAATCTATCTGTCTTGAAAGTTTTATAACATTTTCTCGAAGCGTTCTCAAGGAACCCCAGAAAGGGGAGAGGCAAAATCTCGTAACTCTTCCATATTGTGTAAAAGGAAAGACTTTTGACTTGTCATATATAATACAGGTATGTCTTTTTAAAACTCACCAAAGCATTTTTATCATCTATCGCTATACCCAATGATCGTAATACAGCTTTTGTTATAATAAGATAATCTTGTGCTTTTGGATATC